CAACGTGTACACGGCGCCTCATTTGCATCTGACTAGTTGATATGGGCCGTAGGCGATTATGTACGCCGATGCTGTGCTGCCCGTCCTCGAAGCGGAGAGGGTGGGCCCTGACACTCAGATTGGTCAACGCCAAGCACGCTTTGAACAGGTGCTCGTACAATCTCTCTTCCCAGCGCCACTTATGAGAAAGTACAATCCAAAAACCGCACATTCTCCCAAAGTACCATTCTACTATGAAACGATCAGAAGATACTTGGCGATTGTAGTCCACGTCGTCCAATGACAGCGTTGAACGTGCTGGAGTTCGCACTGGGTGCACCACACGTAGATCTTCGGCTGCACCTTTATATCCCTTGTCCGCCAGTATGGCCCAGTAGTCATCCATAAATTCGCTCAATCGTCCCTCATCCATAAACCGCAAATCACGTACCCCCATTTTAGATGCCTCCCCATGAAAGGGTCTATTACGACGAAATATCTCCAGATCCGACACGGAGCCCAGATAGTGCTCCGTGCACCAAATAGCAAGACCAGTAGGCAGTACCGAAACTTCCACTTTATACCCATACAGCTTATGCTTACCGGAGAAATATCGCTTCCCTTCTGATATATTTCCACTTAGACGATTGCTCTGCTGAAAAGTGACGTCGACACCATATTTCGCGTATTCAAAATTCGAAAACACCCGGTCCTCCAGACGACACTTGTCCATCCATTTTTCCTCGATGCGTGCCACACATATATCATACATGTTTTCTGATATCCTACGTAGAAAGCCAGATATTAAACGTTCGAAAGTAGAACATTTAACAGAAAATAGACGAGCTGTAAAGTTCCATTGCTGACGATGCTTGAATACAGTAAGTGTCATAAAGAGAACATCCTGGGCCTTGTACTGTGTTCTTTTACCTCTGCCAACATTCCAATTCTTTGACACGTAGTCTTCAATCATAACCCATAGTTCGAAGAATTGAGAGGAATCAAAATTACACATTGCCTTAATAGATTGAGAACATCCGTCATTGTAAAACGTGTCATAAATAGGACAATTGGAGTCGTTCTCATCATCGCTGTTGACCACGTCGTCATCAATGTGATCGACGATTTCATTGACGTGTCTGTTGGTGATGTCCGAAAGAGCCTGAACAGCGCGGGAGGGATTCATTTTTGAAATAGTAAAAGGAGTAGGAAAAATGAGGAGCAGCTGCAAGAAGTGGTTTTTCTATATCAACTGCGCAGTTGTTCCATTTTATAGTGTTTAGTTTGAGTAGACTGAAACTGCAAGGCATATCTCACAGAAAGGCGGGCTTTCACGTTTTTGAAAGTTGACTTGCAATTGCATATATGATGCACAACTTATGCTATGATCTGCGTTGCTGTATTATTTGCACACTTAGTTTACTTTTCTACTGATATTCGCCAAACTCAAAGTGCTTTCACGCAACTGCAATACTTGAGGTACCGTTCTCATCAGCATAATTTGGGCGCGTTAAGGAATCTCCCAAATTCTTTATTTTCAATATCAAATTCGAACTTTTTTGCCGACAGAAGAGACGTCTTCGTGACGTCGCACACGTCATCCGGCACAATATGGGTACCCCCTCTTCGCCCAACTCATCGGGGTTGTGACAAATCCAGTAAGCTCAAATTGTATGCCCAAATTGCAAAAAACACATGGACTCCCGGGGTGATCATGCATCGCAGTGCAAGCACGGCTTTTGTCTCGTCCATCGCTATGACCGTGTTCGTAAAACACGAGTGCGTCATGTCTTTCGCACAGCCGGCTTGGCGTGCCAGCTACAGGTTCCGTTTCTGATACCGAACACCGAGCCACGCCCTGCCGACATACTTGTGGCTCCTGGTCCTCCACCCCCTGGGAAGCTCGTTGACAAATCTACAGCATACGATGTCACGGTCCGCAGTCCATACACCTGTACTATTTTAAGACAGGCCGCTCAACATCCCACTGCAGCTGCCGAAGTAGGCCACTGTGATAAGCTTTCCGCTCTCAAGCGCACCATCCATGATGCCCTACATATATCGATTGATGCCCCGACTCCTGCGCTCGATTTGCACTTTATTCCGCTTGCGTTTGACACCCTGGGTGTCCCCTCGGTTTGCTCTGCGCGGGTCTTCGACGACCTTGCCAAAAAGATAGCTTTCCGTGGTCACTGTTCGGTTGGGACGGCCAAGACCCAGATCCAGCGACGTCTCAGCTATGCTATCTGGTCTTCTGTAGCCACTGCTATCCTTGTGCGCATGCCGGTCCATGCTGCCCCACATCCCCCTATCACAAGCTCACACGTCAATCACCCGACGTCCCCAGAAATCAACCTCTCACAACCCGACAACTCTCACACCCTATGAACTCATATGAAGCCAAAAAAACGCACTGTAAGACGTCACTAGAGTACGCATCAAACACTTTCAGGTTTATGGTACACCGGCTCTCATACTGGATTACTCTTTCTCACCCGCATTCTTATTTGTTCCTGTTCATTTGTGTGTTGTAAAGGGCTTCTTCTGCTCTTACTTCATTCTTTTCCACTAAGGCTTTATACTCTCTTGCGACGCACTGCCGACCCCGGCTAAGCTCGCGCGACAAGCCCCCTCATTTGGTGGCATCACAGTCATGTGTCCCAGGGTTTTAAATGTACCAGAACGGATGATAGAAAAGGTCTTGGTCGATCGTCGCAGCATGATAACTTTGTAAGAGCGACAAAGTAAATGGGGACGGTTCTTATTGCGTGATTCAACCACATTAAAAAACAATGCGATTACACACTCAGTTTAGGCCTGATAACTACCTTAGAAGGCATGGAGTTTTCTTGAGAGCACAAAATCATTACAGAAAAGACCAGAAACGCTTATTCCCGTGCTCAACTCCCGGTAAGGAGAACTGCAAACATCATCTCATGCATATGTACGTTTCATGGCACACGCTATACATCAGCTTCTGGCAACTGTTTTAGGTCGGAAACACCGAGGCGCAAAGTGCAACACAGTTAGTGCAACACAGTTAGTATTTCGATAGGAAAGATCAAGAAGACCCCGTGAAAATTTTCGCAGAGGGGAACGAACAACTGCGGATTCTGTCGTGCAGACCTCTTTTACGCGTCAGCAGCTTGCCCTTCCTTGTACAATCAGGGGAGGAGCGAAGCAAGCTGCAAACAAAGGGGAGGTGCGGGCGTCTTTTCGTCCGCGTAGAAGCAAATAGTTGTCTTTTCTTCAAGTCCCCATATATCTCCCCTCCCGCCGCGCCCGGGGCAGAGAGGGGCACGCATACTGTACACCGTGACGGACAGCGAGCGCCGAGGCGGCGGGGCTATTAAATGGGTTGAATTTCCTGACACGTGGCCTGAATTCAACACTAGTTCAGTTCAGTAAGCTCCCGTATCTTCGTACCACCCCCTCCCCCCGTTGTGTACACAAACCTCTCTACCCCCCTTCTTCACCGTAACCGAGCCCACGAGCCCCGCTCGCCCTTGCCGACTGATGTCAGTGTCTGTGTGCGTCAATCTGTCAACAGATTCTACAATCTGGCGATCGCACAACAATGCATGGAGAAACAAAAATTAGCAGTGCAGTGCCATACTGTACCAGCAGAACAAATCATGAAATAATCATACCTGTGTTTTGTTACCTGTTCGGAATAGGTTGTTCCTCAACAACAATGACAAGCCACTCAATGCTCAAATGCTTTGATTGATGGTATCCTCAGGCACGGGGCTGCTGAGCTACACCACTGTCTCCGCTGCCTCGGACATTTTATTTTCAAGTCCAGTGTACAAGCCTTATTACAATGTACAAAAAAAATACTTCATACTTTTGTGAGCAACATCGCCATGCTTCAAGCCTTTGCACGTCAAATCACAAGGCTGCGCTCAGAGCAGTTGTATATTTTTCGAGTACATCTCCATCCCTTCAACCCGCAACTCTATTTTAAACTTTTTACGCCTTGCCCAATGACATTTTCTCTACTACATTTGACCATCCCCGTGGCAACCCTCTGACTAACCTGCTTCCTTGTTGCGATGAACACTAATGTTTGGTCCGATGCTGGTGTTGGGTTGGGAATCGAGGGCTCCTAACGCGAGAACAACGGCACCTAGCGTTTGTAGTACTGCAAGCATCTTGGCCTTCCAAAACACATGTATGTATCTTGTAGTGGTTTTGTCACACATTGAACAGATCAGAACTTGCACGACCAATATACAGTCCGGGGCGTTCTATTCCCGAGCATGTGTTTCAGAGATCTAACAAGAACGGAGCGAGTGAGCTTTGGTGCTGGTCAGACGGTCATGGAGAAAGCAGCTATGAAACGCGAAAAGGGCAGTGTTAGGAAGAAGCAATTGGTTCTGAAGCCCTTTTCGATACTCTCATACGTTCACACAGTCACTCAGACGGAAATGGCCAAGTAGAAGGTTTTCCTCGGGACTATAAAGACAAGGCAGAAGTAAGTTCGAACACAGAGGAGAGAGCACCAACCAAAAGCCATTCTTCAGCAGATCTGGACCCGACAATCCTCCACACCCTCCTCAAGTTCGACTTTTCATCTCATTTGGACCTTTCGAGCACCTGCCTCTTTTCCGCCGTTCCACTTTCTCAAATATGAAATCATCTTTCTTGACTCTACTTGCAATCGTGGGTCTGCTGATGTCTGCTCAAGGCCAGATCGTAGACATCTCCTGCAATAATTACCCTGATATTAAGAGAAGAACTGAACATTGGAGCTACTGGTGCTACGGTGGCGGAAGAGCGATCGGAACTAATTCCATGTGCGATTGTGCACGGACGGAGTATTACGCTGAGGCCAGGCTCAAGTGTGAAAGATCTGCCTCGGGCCAAAGCTTTGTACGAGACATGATTTCCAAAGCGAATGACCGCGCCGCACGCATCTCAGCCGACAGGTCCAAGGCGAACTTTGGTGGTGCACCGATCAACTTCTCATGGAACTGCAAGTGCAACGGACTGAGCTGTGACGCTCCATGTGCTCCATGCTAAGGACGAGTAACTAGGTCTTGAGACGACGCTGCAGGGGCAGTTGACGATGCAGATGCATACCACATGATGTGGTGACCACATGATGTGGTGTGCATGGACCCCCTCGGTCTGTGATCGACCTTGTCGCAGTCTAGCTTAGATTCCAGGGAGGTAGCTATTCCCATACCATGCATTATGCATGGCAAATGTTTCTCCATTTTCACAGGCTTCATACCGTTCCTAGTAAATCGAAGGCTTGAAGTGCCGGTTTTTTCCATACTCGACCGATCCCCCATGACTTTCACGTCACTCATATGCCGTGCAGTACGTGCAGTAGCAGAGGGAAGGCATACATCTGTCGTCGCGATTTTCTCTCGTGAATCAAATAAGAGACACGCTCGGTGCGCGTTCGCAATGGTTGTGGTGGCAGCTGCGGCAGCACGAAGGAGCGTATGGACAGCATGAAAAAGCTGTGCTTGCATGGCTCGAGGATGGAAGTAAGGACGTTGGAGGGTGGGATGCTGGCGCAGAGGTGCTGACGCACAGCATTGAGGTGGAGTGTGTTCGCAGGATGGAGAAGAGGCGGCAGGTGAGAGGGGTGGCATTGTGGGGGGGTGACGACAGGGGGGATCGGAGGGTGGGGGGCAGAGTGGTAGCAGGCGGCGTAGGGAGAGGCTCCGGGCGGAACCACATATAAAGGGCAGGTGAGGGAGGGCATTTGTATTCGCGATGGGGACGCGCTTGGGGAGCCTGAAAGTAGCATTGGGCCATAGAACGGGCTTGTAGGGAGTTGCGCCTGGGGGAGGGGGGAATCAGGAGGTTTGGCCTTGCGGTCTTGAGACGGGGCTCGGACCGGTAGCCACTCCTGACAAGGGGCGGGGAGATCGAGGAGACGTCAATGCAGTGGGCGGAGAGTAGAGTCCACGAGAATGGGTGGCGTTTGGGGATTGGGGTTCGCGGTAGGGGAATTAGGCAACTTTTAAGTCCGTTAATCGTAGTGCTCTTGAAATCGGACTACTGCGCTATAGTCCCCAATGGAGAGTGAACGCCCGTATGCTCTTCATTCAAAATTAGAGAGGCGCAGTGCTTCTTTCTTCAAATTTCGCTTGCCTGCGGTGTGCAAGAAGTCGTGAAGCATACCAGGCAGGTCATTTGCAATTTGCGCCAAAGGTTCCGGTGTCTGGTCAACGTGGTCGGGGAGGCCTTCCCACACCACCAGAAGTTCTAGTCCCTTGTCGAACTTTCGAATGTCTCGCAAGTCTTTGGCGTCGTGGTAGGAGGTTTCCGTGTGTTCTGCGTACCGCAAAAGCATGAGATCTACCTCTACATCCTCTAGGCCTGTTCGATTGAACGCGAGGCGTCGTGAGTGCACAGTTTCTCGCTTGCGCAGGACAAGTTCTTCCACCTCACATACCCAATCAGACTTCACCCTGATGACCCGTCGAGGTCCTTTCCGAACGAACTGCAGTTTATGACCTTTCTTTTGGGCACGCCTAACGAGGGCATAGCCACAGACTTCTAACATTGCCGCCTGCCCATTAATTTTAGCGTTGTGTTTTGCAATGGCCCGGGCGCGAGATTTTGAGACCAAACCCAGCACATCTCGGTGTAAGTCACAAAGAGCGTCCTGCGTACGATCGATTTCGATTAGTCGCCGGGCCTCCACTTCTTGAAGACTGGAAACCTTAGAGTACGGCTTGATCGGTAACGCGGCTAGCAAAGGACGGGTAGGATAATGGGACGTGAAAACCTCTAAAGGCGTCAGGTACACGCCAGGGATATTTTTCTGTCGAAACCCAAGCCGTTTCAGAGGCGCGTGATTTACCACACTCTGCACGCGACATAAGGGTCCATCGGAAGTCTTATTTCCCCTGCGTCACGACTGGGGTCGGCCACAGTCGGGCGCCATGCTTGCGGGGCGGCAGCATCTGGAGGTACAGCACTACTGGGCCCTCTTCTGGGGGCACCGGGCAGCCTTGCGGCCATGGTACGTTCCAGGTCACGATCACGCGTCCGCTTGGAGTCCAGCTCAGCCGTGAGGTGCGCGAAGGCATCAAGTTGCTCCGCAATGGGGGTTGACAAGCGTCAGGACGTCCCGATGAGGTCGACCTCGCGGGATGACCCTCTCCATACGTAGCGGGTTCTCGAGACGCGAGTCTTCGACGAGAATCAGTCGCGAGTGCAACTGGTCGACCAGGGCTCGGAGATTCTCCAGCGACTTGGTGACGCGGTCGAACCTCCCCTTGCGGATGGATCGGAGCTCGTCCATGCAGATCGCCCATGCAGAGCCAGTATACGGCGTTCGTAACTTGAGTGCAGAGGAAAGTACGGACTTCCTCGATGTGGTCTGCAATGCGGTCGAACATTACCGCCGTTTGTCCTTCGGGGTACTCGGGCGACGGTTCGCAGTCTCGGAGGCCTGTGTCGCTGTTGCCGAACGTGATGGGGCGTGCTTAGCGGCCGCCCTCGGATGCGCCGGTTCGAAGCGGATCGAGGGGGCGTATTCTTGACTCATCTCGACGCAAACGGACGCGGAGGGAGAGGAAAGTCTTCTCGGAAAGATCTCGGGGTCTTCTAGGTCGGGAGACCACTGTAGCATAAACACCCCCCAACGTAGAGGGGTGTATGCTAAGCTCAACGTAGACCCTTTCAGAGGGCGAGAAGACGGGGAAAACACACAACTGATGGGACAGGGAAGCGGGCCCTGGTAGCGTGGTAGAGCGGGACGGTCGGGGACGAGCGTACGCGAGGGCTGATCTACGCCTTGACGCCCGGGAGCAGCGCTGGCTAACGTATCAGCGCTGACGGGCGGAGCCGGATCTACGCTCGCTCGCGTACGCGTGTTCCCCCTACCGGCTTGGTCCCGTTTAAAGCGCGCGAAGGCGGATCGTGCGGGTTAGTTAAGCTGGAAGACGGACCCAGGCGGCAGGTCGTAGACAAGTCCGTGGTTATCCCCCTTCGCCGCCGCCGGTCCGCTCCGTTATATAATTTACTGTACAATTAGTCTATCGTAATTTAGTACAGTACGTACTGTACTATGCGGCACTACTGTAGTCGGCACTGTCAGCCGACGGCCCTGACTGTATACGTGTCGTACACGTATAGTACAAGTGGGCGCGCGTGCCCCCGTACACGTGTGGTACAGGCTGTCTGTAAGGTTCGTTCCTTACAGAGCCAGATCTAATGTCTAATCTAATTCTTCTGGGTAGTTGGACTACACCTTCATCGACCATCGCGCTACTGTTGAGGCGCGAAGATCTCTTTCTGCACGGCGTGACTCGTGAAATGTCTTTAGTAATGCCCTTTTCTGTTCCTCGCCGGTCTTTGGACAATCTTTCGCATACAGGTACAACAGACGGATTTGTTGAGACAGCGTGGAGGCTCCTTGTTTGCAACAGATTTGTTGCTTGCGTGACTACTTTTTGCTTGCTTAGCGCTGCGCGAGCCATGATATGCTGACGAGGTCGCGCTGAAAGCCAAAGCTGAGCGATTAATCGGTGTGGAGGAGGGAGGCGTACCAGAGCGTGACATAGAACTGAACATTGACGGCCGGCCTAACTCCGAAGGTTTCATTTGTCCATGTCGACGGATTGGAACCAAGGAGTCACAGAATATGGCTTGTTTGACGACATACTGATAAAAAGATTTCCAGTTCTTGCGAAGATCGCGCTGCAAGAGTTGAAGATCGTTCTCAATCTTGACCCTCAGGGCTCGGGCTTGAGAAGCTCACAGATGTTTGCAACTGCCACTTAGGGATTTTCCGTCAGGAGCTTGTCCCATTTTCGCACACGAAGTAGGCTTTTGTAGTCCGAGAAGAGCCTGATGATTCGTATCCCAGCATTGGGTTCACTGACGCTCATTCGTACGTTTGCGTGCACAACGTTTGCCAGCTGGTCCAGAGGCAACTTGTCCAGAGAATCACCTTGGCTTCCCTCAAACCATTTCTGTAGCTGGACGTCAGTAAGTGTCTCAAAACTTGTGACAGCGGCTTCGAACTCCTCCAGTTCAATCAGCGAGCTGAGAAAATCGATATCAATTGAAGCATTGAGGGCAATAGGGTTGAGGGATGCCCCACTAATCTGGAAATTCATGACTCGAAGCAAATAGCTTTCCTGTTCTCGAAAGAAAAGATGGATGCATTTCTGACCATGTTGACGTTGCTCCGAATGTGAGATTAGAGTAAAAAGATGGTGCCCATCTTTCGGGCGTCCAGCCATGCTGGGAAATGTGTGACGTGTGCAGTCAGGTAGGCAAACCTGCTTGCGTAGTGATCACTGTGGTGCCTGCACGAAAAGTGTGAAGGGAGAGTGAAGTTCTCTGCCTTTTTGTGTGTGAAAGCCTGGCTTCGTACTTAAGTAAACTAGAGAGAGAAAAAGGATGAACCAAAAAAGATAACATTAATGATGCCTAGAATGGCAACTGGTAAGCTATGCCTCTAGGAACTGTAGTGCAATGTGCCTGGCAGGCCGCGAACACAGTCCGACGGTCAAACAAAAAGAAGAAAAACAGCAACAGCAACAACCACTGCCGATGGCACGCGCTACGGAGCGTTCGAGACTCCCTTTCCCCTTGTGTGGGCTTGCGGCCCACGGTAGCTCGACTCCGACGGGGGGGTTAAGGAAAGATACCCGGCCCGGGAGGAAAATGGTGGTAGAGACTTGTGAAGACTTAAGTGCTCGACGAGTGCGGGTTGGGCTTGTCTACGAGAATATAACCGCGGTTCGCTGGGTTGAAAGGCCAATGCTCGACGAGCGTCTTCAGCACCTTGGGTATAATTCAAGTTCTTCGACGGGGGCTTGTTCAGCACTACCCGACCGGATCGTAACCGTGTAGCAACGCTACTACCGATGTGTTGCCCGATGGCTAAAAACATCCTCACCAGCGCGATCACGATCGCGGTAGGCGGTACCAACTTTGTGTTATACAGTAAGACCTTCGACGGAGGCGTCGTTACAACAGCCTTCCTACGGAACTTGAAACAGTAGCAGCGCTACACAACGTGTTGCCCGATGGCTAGAACACCTACACCGGATCGGTCGCAACCGACTCCAATGAAACTAACACAATTAAGGGAAAAATAGATGAAGAGCTAGAAAAGGTAAAAGGATAAGGAAAAGGAATGGGACCCCGAGCAATAGAGGATGTCGTTAGCAGCGTAGAAGGAAAGCGCGTCGCGTGAACGGAAGCGGTCTTCGACGAAGGCGAGATCTAACTCCGGCAACTCGGGTTACCTTTACTGACTTGGTGGTCAGAGGGCTAAGGTATATATCGCCCCGCCGGAGCCACTACAGTAGCTCTCGGGGCTAGATCCTAGATCTAATCTAATGTCAAATAACAAATATGCAACTAATTAAAATTAATGATTAAAATAATAAAGTGAAATAATTTTCACTTGTCGCCCGCTGGTTTTCAAAGGGCAGCTCGAGGAGGCGCGCGGTGCCGTCTCTGCCATCAGGGGATACGGGACCTTCGAACCTGGTGCGAGCTCACCAGTGCCGAGCGCGAGGGTTGCCCGCTCCGCCCGGTCGCGTCGCCAGCGATGACGCTCCATACCGACGCGGCCGATGTCGGGTACGGCGGCACCTTGGGACCAGCTGAGAAGGCC